CAGTGCTCGCTCTTCGCAAATTTTCGCATTTTGATGTTATGCAGGAGTCGAATTTCCAGACGGCAAACAAGGCATTTTGGCAGTCCATCCGCGCCTCCGAGATAGCAAGAAGGGCAGTTTCAGAGTCCTGAAGGACAAGTCCCAGCCCTTTCTTGCCAAAGAACATGATATATATTGGCAATATTGAGAGTATTTTGAGTAAATTCTTAACTCTGAGCAACCGTAGGAAGACTCATCTGAAGAACAGTAGACAAAAGATATTAGTTTCTCAGTCGACGAAGTCACAGAAACTGTAGATGGCTTGAAAGTGGCAAGGCGCTGGAATCGATAAAATCCGCACTGAAATGCTTAGAGCTTTAGGCAAATAAGGCATGTTATGGCTGACACGTGTCTGTCAAGCTGCAATGATTACGGGAAAGACACCGATGGACTGGAGAACTGGGACAGTGAGTGGTCGTGCACCTGTTTGATGAGGGTTGCTATGTGGACTACTTCAATTATCCCGGCATTGCCTTACTGAGCCTCTCGGGAAAAGTCAACGTAAATGTTTTTGAAAAGAGGTGCCGCGAAAATGACTGACTTTATGATACAAGAAGATCAGTATGGTTTCAGGTTAGGCCGAAACACCCTGATCAAAGATTCGTCTAGTGCCATTATGTCGAGCACTGAGAGATGGTGGGAATTCGCCCATTCAGTTGATCTGAAGAAAGCCTATGTCCAAATGTCGCAATGACAAACTGTGGGTATGTCTGCAAGCGTATGAGATCTGAGATCAGTGACCAGTTGCTACAAGTCCCCACCCCTCCAGTCACTGTACACTGATTGCAAATTTCGCGCTAGAGTCAATGACGTTAAGTCCAGACCTTCCAACGTTAGCATGGTCTCTGACAAAGCTGCATTCTTTCCCCTTTCCTGCTTTTATTGTACGTTGAGAGAAATATCCGGCGCAGCCACGGTGACAAGTGTGTCAGCATAGGAGATGTCGAGACGAGAAGGTCGCTGTTTGCAGACCATTCAGTTTCGTTGGCCTCTTCGGATACTGATCTCCGGCATGTTCGTAATCAAGTGAGACGTGACCGGCATGTGTAGCAACGTTTCTAAAACCTGCAGGTTGATGCCGTCTCGTTCTCCTGCCCGATGCACTCTTCTGATAAACGGAAAAGCAGTGGAACAGATGGAGAAGTTCAAGTACCTCTGGGTCATGTTTACTTCTAATGGAAAATGAGAGGAACAAATCGACCGGCGAACTGGAACGACACGAGGTGTGTTGCCTGAAACAGCCGGAACTATTGTGAATAAAGCAGAGTTGAGTCTGGAAACTAAGCAGTCTGTGTTCAAGTTGATTTTCACCCAGATGCATCTACAGTCATGAGTTGTGGTCCACAGCTAGAAATCTTTGTTCCCGGGTACAACGGGCTGAATTGAACTTTCTGAGACGAGTTACTGGAATCTTGCGACTCATATGCAATACAAATATCTGTGTCAGTCTTGGCATAGAACCGCTGCTGCTCGCGATTGGGAAGTCACAGTTGCAGTGATTAGGGGGACGCTTTTCAAATGCTTAAAGAAAGGAAGACAAGACAGCTACTACTTTCCGAACTGACCGAAGTTCCCGCCAAGGATAACCTGGGGCAAGTGTCTCAAACGACTGTGCTCCAGACTCGGGTCACCTTTTGTCGAGGCTCAAACACTCTTATAGGATCGGGAACGTTTGAGACACTGAGTGACGCGTATGCCTGCACGTCGCGAAAGGATAAGCCATTATCAGAAATGAGTGACTGACTGATGTCACGCTGTTTACGGCATCGACGAAGTAAGATCATTCATCGACAAGATTTGCGTTTATTTTTCTCTGCTATGTTATATGTTGGCCAGCGCTCTTTTGTCGTCTTCACTGATATTGCCGTATCAGCAGCCGAGGAGCCGGTAATATTTGATCGCTCCGATCGGTAACTAGACTATATTCCTTCCCTCAGATCTGCAATAAACAACTTGTATTCACTGATAACAGACGATGCTGTTTTTTTTGTAATATTTGTGTTTCTTCCCTGATGCCCAATGAAAATCAGCAATACCGTGACTACATCACTGATCAATAAGCATTTATCGACGTTATTCGAATTAAGGTCATCAAAAATCGCCCTTTCAATTTAATACAATGAACCTGAGCAAATACAAATGGCAAAAAAACGAATCGAATGACAGCCCAGGTGGACTGCCGGCTCTTAAAATCATAGAAATGTGCTATGGCAACATATCGTTTCAACCCTACCGCATTTGCTATTAATTATCTGCCATCGTGATGTTCGAACTATTGGCTGCTTTATGTGCAATATAGTCACTCTGTGACGAAGAAGCCTTTCAATTACTAACCAGCAGTTCCCTTTTCGCCTGTCAACGATTAGCAACGACTGTTGGCTGAAATTAAAATCTGACTTTGACTCGATCAGGCAAACTATTCAACACGATAACACGTAATATACCGGAACAAAATCTGGAACTTGCCGAGAAAACTGCTTGCAACGTTAGCGCACATAGCCACACAGTACTGAAGGCATCTAAGTCATCGTACGCTGGCTACGTTTCGCCATTTCAAAATTTGGTCGAATGAAAGCAGCTGCTTGCTGCTTCTTGAAATGAGAACTATCGTGACAGAAAGCTAGGAGAGGAGAATGCCAGTGAATAGTCATCTCGACCTTTCACTCGATGGCTAAGTTCCAAAGGCGAGGAAAGTCGCTGCCAATCGGTCAAAATAGAAACGTATTGCTTCCTGCTTAGTTCAAGCAGAGTGCATCAGAACTGATCTAGTGTGCTTTCGTTTGGTGGAACAAGTGTACGCGTATCCCACCAAAAGTGAGGCTTAAAAATAAAATATTCAATATTTGCTGTCTTTCCTATTTTAAGGAAGTTTCGCACGCATGTACGACACTGCCAATAACTAAAATCGTTAATGCAACAGACCTAGATGTTTACGCCGGTTATTTGCATGTAGTACGAACCATGAACTCGATCATTGCAGAGAAAAATTTTTTATCAGATTAGTAGTAGCTTAGTTTTTTTCTGAAACAAATCTGGTAAATAATCAGATAAGGGATGATTCGACTGTTCAGAGGAAGCCGCAAATTAACAAGTCAGTTCGTCTTCAAATGCATAAGCTGTTACTGATCCATCGATCTGGTTACAGCCAGTTGTCAATGAAAATGTAATAACCAGAGCGCAGTTTCGTTGCGTCCTTAAAGATCTGACATCCAGTTAAAATATGCAAAAAACACAGACGTACTTGCCGAGAAACCCAGCGAATGACTCGAAAAGGTTACGACCAAAGATAAAGCTTTTTGCTGTTGCCATTAGTGGCTAAATCATAGGTTTTAGAAGTCGCCTCACGTCACACCACGATGAAGTTTGTTTTCGATTCCGGTATTGTAGTAAATAGCCTGCGTCGCGATCAAAACACGGCGACTCATAGTGAGTGAACTTTTAAGAGAAAACATGGGCAGCAGTGCGCCATCGTTCCCCACTCATATTTCTGCGCATCACTAACGACCCACAATGAGTCGTAAGCAGTCCCAGAAACTAACGTCACCTGCGCAACACGCATTGTTCACATTTACATTGGTTTTGATGCTTAACTGACTACTTACCTATCTGACATATTTAAACGTCCATCCGCGAATTACGCAGAAGTTTATGACATAGTTTGGCAGCAGATGCTGCATTAATCATTCGTTGTGCTGAACGATTTTCGCTTTGTCGCTGCTATACTGATTTACAGATTTGAACCTATTATTACAACCATAGCAGGTGTCAAGCAAGGCCTTGGTCTAAACTTTACTCACCCATTAGTCATAAATAAAGAAACAGCACTATATACCCCGTAGCATTTATTATCATATGCAAACTACGTCGGTCGCCTGCGGCATGCAGCATCACAGCAAGAACTAAATTCTTCGACATTTGCCTGATGACGCAAATCAGGAAACCACTTCACAACTGCATGGCGCAATTTACTAGCACTTAGAAAGAACGATCATAGCAAATACCGGAAACGTCGAATTCATGTGACACAAGTCTCTGCATTAATGCATAAAAGCGACTTCGGTTTTCCTAGCGAAAGGCCTTTAATTTTTACGTCAATCGACAAGACGGACACAGGAGGGTTTCATTAAAATTTTAAATACCCCGTAGTCGATGAAATCGAAAAATTACGAAATGTGCTATACCCGTACTTTTAACGAACGTACATTCAGGATTACGGATAAAGAGACAGTGATCAGCTAAAAAAGAAAATCTGAAACAGACACTGTCATTGGCAGCAAGCGAATGACCAGCATCCGTCCAGCAGGTGGTCGTGTCCTCCCTAAATGGGTCGGAACCAAAACTGGCATCGACGCAATTTGTCACCGCCCATTCTCTTCTCACTTGGCCGACTTCGAAGCAGTTCCAGCTCCTGAAAGAGAACGGCACTTTTCGCTGTCACGTATGTGTTTGCGTTTAGCATGAGTTACTTTCGTCGGCGGAGTTCGGCACGGTGAGGAACTTTTGGAACTCGTGCATCAGGTTGTCCATGACGACCGTCGATGGTAGCAGACTCAGCTGGGAAGTATCCACAAGCGCGTTCCTCCTACCGGTTCGTTCGCACAACGCGAAGTTCGTGTGTTCGTCGAACGACTGACCATTATTCACAACCATCGACGACATGACGTTTGAGTGGAGGAAGGTACAAATCTGCTGACCACTCCTACAAGTAAATGGCACGTTAGTTTACAGTTTGCCACCGACTGTGACTGATCTCGCTCGCCAATGGAATCTGTTGGCCGAGGACCTTGACGCGCAGTGACGTTCAATACTCAACCAGCGGTTCCGGCTACATCGATGACGGCTGGGCTGGTGGCAGCCAGCCAGCACATCATAGTGTCGGCGGCTGCTAGTCCATGTGAAAATCATGAGGAAGCTGCAAGTATCAAGTGCATATGTTCACCGGTTTCGAGTGCATTTCCGAACGTCGACTGACGCTGCATGCGCTAAAAAATTCACAATGGCGCGCTCATGCTACAGACGTCACGGGGCGAACCGGAACGCCCTCCGACGAGGGGCGAGTTTGCGCCTCTGATAGCTCGGCAGATTAATTGACAAATTCTGTTACCGTTTGACTGTCAAATCGAATCAGTTTGAAAGAGCGTTCGTAATTTCATCAGTCACAAAAATGGCATCTGCGACGGACGGACA